GAGTTGCTTGTTACACGAAAGAAAAAATCCTCCAAACTACTTTGATATGAACATTGAATTAAATTTTTTCCTCCAGTTTATACTACATACATTCGTTATGAAATTGAAAAAGATATCATTCATGGAAAAGCTACACAATGTGACATATGAAAGAGCATTGATATGAAATATCATTTACATGGAAGACTATAATTCTCAATGTTGTACTTCGAAGTTTCGAGGCAAGACACCTTATCAGCACCGTTTCAGATAACATTACAAGATGACGCTCTCATTTCTTTCGTAACATTACGACTTTTTCATCGACCTTATTTGGGTATTTTCACCTTCCACGATTGTTTTTATTTTATTAAGGAAATAAAAAAAATATATGTCCATTACATTGGACTTCCGGTATTAAGTATAATAAAAAAACAGAATATCTTGCCCAATATGTTGGACATTCGGTCTCCAAGATATCTATTTTTATCTTTTATGATATTCATAAAAAAAATTATGACTTTCAGTAATGCAATAGAAAGCATTACATTTTTCACACATACATTTTTTTTCTTCGTACACTATGAATACTTGCCTCTTACTGCATTGTTGAGATCACTTCTTAAAACAGACGAATGTTGCCTACTTCTGAGACTGGCATTATTATTATTTGGCATGGGTGACTCTGAAGAAGATCGAGATTGTAGAACATTGTATTCCATTGGCTTATTCCTTGTGTGGACTGAGTTTTGACAGACCTCATTTTCTGTATTTTCATCATCGGTAGATCCTAATAGCTGTTAAGATATTTTTAGTTTAAAATAAAAAATTGCATGTGCATATCTTCAAGTTTTTTTCGATCTTCTCGATAAAAGATCCAAGAATTTGCAATAGCCAAATCTGTAAAATGAAATATCATTTTAACAGTTCATTTATTGGTCCTATGGCATTGATATGATAGTATGCTATCATTCTGTCGATAAGATCAATGCCTCCGATGCACTCGTTGAATATGGCAACTACGTGAGGCCTTTTAACCTGTATAAATTCTTTATCCCGTTTCGACCATCGTTTGCATTCGTCCACGGGGTCACAGCATAGGTAAGGGGGTGTTCTTCTAAATGCGTTGACATAAGTAGTACAGGTTTTAAATCGTACCATTGAATGATGTTATATTTACCATCAGATCTGACACTTTGTTCAGTTGCTTCCCTACCTAGTCTCTTCAAAACCTTCTCGCTTGTTAGATGAACGGCTCGTGGGATTCTTGATTTCATTATAGTGCCGGTACCATTCAATTTGTTTTCTAATAAAAACTCGAGTAGTGGTATTGTTGTAAAATATCTATCCATGAAAATCACAGATCCTTCAATGAGCGACTGGACAAGTCTAACAACAGCTGAAGGTCCTACACCCAAATCTTTGGAGATATTATCTAAAAATGTATCTCTACCTTGATATACTTCGAAATCCATAACAAGATCTGAAGGTGTTGCGCATACAAAGTTATTGAGCCCTTCTGGATTTGGTTTCCCTATAACAAATTGTTTCATAGCACAAATTCCTGTAAATGAAATCATTTGCTCATCTATTGCAACAGTTTTGTTTCTTGGCAAGGATAGGCATGGTTCCCTGATTTTCTGCAAGAATGGGCCTACTTTCCATAACTTGTTTGTCTTCCGCAAATTTTCAGAAATGTCATTATCGACTCACATTTCAAATGGTTTCTTATTATGAAGTACCTATCTCTTGTCATACAAGAGGCAATTGAATAAACTCCTGTTGTTTTTGCCCAATACATATGTATCCTGGGATATTTTGATAAAGACATTAGAAGGATATCCCAAAGAAATGTTTTGTCTCTATAAGTGACAAATTTAGGGAATTGCTGTGCACTAACATGTAGTTTACATTTGTGAAATCACAAATTGTTTGGAATAATCTGATGGTGTAAAACTGCTCTTCTCGTAACTAGAGTCTGTATTTGCTGATGTTTGAAATTTCATTCCACAGAACGTCTCACATTTTTCCCATGTAGAGCTTTGTTTAGCTTTACTTTTTTTACGTTGCTTGGAAGAGTTCAACTCGGCATTTTCTTGGGTTCTTGAAATCTTCCTCTAGTACCGACTTAATGGTAAATCATCATCTGAGTCATAGTCGCTTTGGTAATCTTGATTTTCTTTTTCTTCCTCATATTCATACTCTAACTTCTCAACTATATCATTTTTTGGATTC